ATATATATATATATATTTTTTTTCCAAGGTTTATATTTATGTAATGCACGTGGCGTCTACTGCCCTCCCTCGCTTTCAGTGAGATCCTCAGATCCGAAGAGAGACCACGTGGCAGGGGCCATGGAAATTTGCCGCAAGGTTTCAGCTTTGTTGAATGATTCCGAATAAGGCCGCACAACTCCTCTCGTAACAACTCAGTTTATGTCCTTCTGTGTAGTAAAGATTTGCGGTCAGGCCACAGTCCGCCGTCTCCAGCATGAGACGGAGGCCGACGTAGCATCACGTCAAGAGACTCGATGCATCTCCACAGAATGCGAAGCTGTGAGGCGGAGGTCCGGAGCCCTGAGCATTCGACGGACCTCATGGACTTCTGCTTTGACGGCGGGATGCCATCTCGAAGATTCTGACGGAACAATTTTGCACGAACACAGAGGTAAATAGCATTCGGTTCTGGGTCGGAAGATTGTTAAGCTTTGCTTGTTATAGCGGATTGAAATTACGGTCGCAGCTGAGTTGCCTGTCTTTTGTTTTATCCGGATGAAACTGATCTTTGTGCAGTCTGGCTGCTTCTCCTGTGCTCCCTGCATTTCAGGCAGGCAGCACCCTCGTATTGGACGGCCGAATTTATCCCGCCAAGCCGCTCGGCCGAATACCTGTCTTGCCTGCGCAGTGCAATTCTAGTTGGAAGTTGTTTGAGACCTCAGCTGGGATGAGGCAACCTTTAGCCGCCAACACCAACGCGGTGAAGACGACTTGAGCATTGGACACTTGACGGCCATGCAGCGGAAAGCGTGCTGCGAAAAGCCAAAGCTGTGATTGCAACCTAACAAGGCAGATGCATTAAACTCGAGAGCATGACTGCCACAACTATAGTCGCCCACACTTGAGTTTCTGTCTTCATGTTGCTGTGCCCAGGCTCTACCCCAAGCACCCCGAGCACAGCCAAGCCGGCCTTTGTTCGGCGGCAGGCGATTTCCAGTTTGCGCTGGCTTGCATGCTGATGTCCTGTTCCGCGAAAGTGTGTGTGTGTGTGTGTGTGTAGCAGCTGTCACAGCAGCATGAGCAGGTGACCGGTCTGAGGGGCGTTCACGCGCAGGAAGATATTCAGTCTCCTGAAGGTCGCTTGGCCAATTCGCACTCCACGTGTCGATGTTGTCGCCAGTATCAGAGCCTGGACAAAGCTTAGGCAGCTTGTCTGTTTCGAACGCTGCACCGCGCGGGGTGAAGCGTCGGGCCCTGCATTGGGGACGCCAGGCGCTTTTGCATCATGGACTATAAATGAGACCTAGCAAACGTGCGCGCTTCCAAGCCTTGTGCCGTTATAAACGTTGAACTTGGTTCGCTGGTTCTGATTTTTGTTGTGGCTTTTCGGGTTCTCGTTCCTCATGCCTTGCCTGGCAGACTCGGCAAGTTTGCGTAGTGTTCTTTCCTTGACCAGGTGACCAGAGCCAACATGGTCGGTGAGGAGCAAGCTGGGCCGGCTCGGGTTCTATCATTTCGAGATGGCCCCTCGGCCGAGGCTTGCATCCTGAGTTCTTTGTCAGACATCATGGTGAAAACCATGCAAGAAAAAGACAGGAGAGCTGGTATGGCAGACATGTAGGGCAAACACAGTAGATGTG